GTGCACTGGCACGTCCCAGTCTAGAAGGGAACCACCAAATCTCCAGTGAAAGCTTTTCTACAACTTCCTAGTGCCATAGAGTCATGAAACTGTAACTAACTAGATTATCATTATGCTCTAAAATATATTACTGTTTCTAAATCAACCACTTGGAATTAAGGCAAGAGCACCTCTTGGTCTGTTTTACCAGCACCCTGATAGCCATTGGGGCAGCACAGACCTAACAAAATATGTAAGTAAAAGAAAACAAAACTTATGTGCCTCTGGGGTAGGAGTTGAGCCCTGTCCTCTGCTTAACTCCTGTAGTATGACATTTTTCATAACTGAATGACTTTCTCACTGGATGTGCTAATTCTCGTTAAATTTCGTTTTCTCATTATAAATGTCCTGAAAACTGACTTTTTATTGCTTCAGGAAGAAGAATAAAAAAAAAAAATCAGCCGAAGGTTTGACTTTTTAGGAGTCCAATAAACCGCTGTGCATGCCAAAAGTGAATATGTATTTCATTCCATGCTTTATTTTCTCAGCCCAGTACTTGCAGAGTGTGTGGATGCACAGTGTGGTTGGTGATGATTCTTCACATCCCAAGGCAAAAGTCTGAGTTTATCAGCTGGGAGAAGTCAGGCTCAGCTCATCTGTGGTGTCTGAGCTCACCCAGCAACACACAGACAGCTCAGGCACATGACCATTGGGATGCAATTCTACTTGTCACAAAAGAGATTTAAAATGTAATCTCTTTAAAGGCTGTTCCACTTTCATGTGGCATAGAGGTTTTTTCCTCTCTGTAGTTTTCAAACTAAGATTTCTGTTTAGGATTAAATATCCTACGTTGCTGCACAGTTCAATGAGAGAGTCAGTGCTGCCTCAGGTGACAGAGCAAGTGAGTGTTCACTCCCAGGGGAATGAAGTCTCATGAGTAACTCTTGTTTAATAAAGCTAAATCAGTAGATTTTAACCACTGTGGCTCCATGGTCTGATTCTAAAGATGTGTTTCCAAAGGTAACGGAGGAAAGGAAAATGAGTCCTAGGGGCTTACATTTTTTATACAGAGGTCTGTAACTTCCATGGGGAAATATTTCAGGACCTGCAAAGCAAAAAGCCTCCCTGAATAAGAGTGCTGCGAGCCTGTGCTTTGTCAACAAGGAAATCCTCACCTAAGTTCAGCACTGAAATCCCATCCTCCCTGGACCCATGTGGCTACCAAAAAAATATATAGTTCAAATGAATCTTTGAGAATGAAAGTTCTGTTTGATGCAAAAAAAGCAGTAGGAAAAAGCACAAAATGCTGCAGTAGAGGAATGATGGCTGGAAACAGCAGAAGTATAATAAACAAGCACTTCACAGCTCTCATTTCAACCCAAAAAAGTATTTTCTTATCTTTTTCAGCTACCTCTACTCTGCCATTAGTCATTCTTTGAACTCTCACTGTTTCCTGGGGAATTTGGACCAAATAAGGAATGAGCAAACCACGGACAAGGATATGCCCAAAGTCTTTATAAATCCTGCTTACCAAGAACAAAGTGCCAAAGGAATATTGAGGATACACAGGTTTTTAAAGAGTGACAAGCCCAAAATCCTGCTCTACAGCAGTGAAGTCTTCTCTGCTTCAGGAAGAGGAAAGAACCACAGCGAATCCCATCAAAGTGCTGCTGACAACTCCTAAGTGACAGTGACCATTGCCTTATGACAACTCCTAAGTGACAGTGACCATTAGTGAGCAGCTCATTGCCTTACTTGAAGTCTGATGGTGACAAAACAATTACAGGAGAAAGAAAACCTATTTCTGGTCACATTAGGCTGTTAGAAACCCTCCATGGATGGACTTTGCATCAGCCCTGAAGTATCCAAGTCACGTGGACATCAAACCCATTTCCTACAACTTACACATCTTTTTCAAGATTTAAAGCACTGTAGTCTCAAAACCTTAACTCAGTGTGTAATGGGTTTAACATATATTTTACATCTTAATTTGCCATAATAATGTAGCTATAAGCTGCTGTCATTCACTCCCTTTTTCTGACCTTGGAAGTAAAATGTTTAATCTCCATGGGATTTTCCTGGCGAGATGCTTTAAATCAGTGCATATGTACATACTTCTCTCTGTGTTTTTTCAATTTTCCTAAAATATTCTCATATGTGCAGACATGATGACTAGACATGTTTCAGTGGTGCTTGAAACTTGATACAAGTGGGTAATTTAACCATGTAATTGAACAATATTCCAGAAACACATGGAGTTTCCTAGCAACAAAAGGCCTTGGACACCAAGATGGTAGCCAGCAGTTAACATTGCAACTGCCTGACCTAACTTGAAAAGAAATTACTCTGAAGAATGTCCTCCTTCCTCTTACAGCAGAACTGATACAAGGCTACATGGATCTGTATCATGTTTGACCCTGAAGGGCTTTTCTTACAATGCCTTACTCATGCACAGGGTGACAAATGTCCTTTCTCATGTGACATTTAGGGAACTTTTATATTTTCCAGAAGCAAGAATAACCGAGTTGAAAAACTTATTCTCCTGTACCCTCCAGTTTACCCCGATGGAATATAAAATGCTGCTTAATGTGAAGTAGCTGAGTACAGCTTAGCTTGTGGATGCAGAACTCCCCCTTGCTCAGGCATTTCTGAAGGACTGGGCCAAGGGAAAGGTGGCACAAGTCCCATGAGCCTGGAGACCACCAGTGCTGTTGTGCCATGAGTCCCTGTGCCAGAGACTCCCATGCCTGAGAAAACAGGACACAGAGGGATGGAGCAAGATCATCTCATCCCTTCTTTCCTTTTTCCTCATTTTCATTCATCTGTCTGACCAGCAAATCTCAGTCAAAGTCATTTCCTCCTGAGAGGGAAGAGTAAAGCATGGAAGAAACTACCAACTTACGAAGTTGCAGTGACCCCAAAACCCCAAGGTGGCTCAAGGCACTGAAAAAATTCCTTACACTCTTCTATGCTCAGAGCTTCCTTCAGTTAAACAACAACATCAGCCTCTATTCCCAGTTCCACCATGACTTCATTTTTCCAGCTGAAGTAGCTAACTGTTGCTTCAAGAAAAATACCAAGAATTGCCTGTTTTCTGAATGAAAACTGAAGAAACGGGCAGAGAAACAAACCCCTTCTAACACAAGGATGATGGTCTACTGGTATTTCCCTAAAATAGCAGCAGCTATTTGTGTGCAGTGTGTCTCTAACAAAGATGTTGGTATAAAAACACTGCCTTGCCAACACCATTCTTTTCAACGTTGCCTTTCCAGCTCTGGAGGCACTGGCTGCTTTCACAGCCAAGTTTGCCACTGCTATGGAAAACAGGCTGCACATGCAAGCCAGCTGAAGTCATCCAGACTGAAAGGGGCTCAGGCTGCTGCTGCTACCACTGTAAAAATGTTATTTGGAAACTGTCTTCTCAGAGAGCTGTATAAGGAATCAAAAATCCATAGTACGGATGCAGGCTTGGTGCTTTCCCACTTTTTAGCAATGATGAATACAACAACTATCTTATCTCAAAAGGAAACATTTCTGCCCCTTACAAAGGCACATGAGCATGCAGGGCAGAGTGGCCTTATATAGGCCTGGCCTAGCAATGTCCTTTTTGCCACTGCATCTGAGGACCTTCTTGCACTGTACTCTCCTAACCTCACCAGTGTGGATGGAGAACCATGCCAAAGCCTTCCCTTTCCTCAGCCGCAAGGCAGAGGGATGTTTCTCCATTTCACCAGAAGAGCTGTGCAAGAACAGCACAGAGACAAGGCCCAAATTAAAAAAAATAAATGTAAATGTTATGGTACAAGGAGTAAAACACTTTAACAGTCCATAAGCCAGGCCAGAAGTAATGTTGCAATTAGTCAGAGGCAAATGACAGGCAGGGAATACATGCTTTTCAGTGTCTAAGGGAACATAGAAGCTTGTTTTAGAAGCAGATACAGATTTGTCCCTTATGCACAGCTGTTTGCTGTCTAATAGGGCTGAGTGTGTAACTACAGTTTTCTTCTAGGGCAGACATTGGGTGTCTCTATGATACTCAGCTGTCTATTTGCATAAGATCTGATGCAATCCAATAATTATAGAAAGGTATCTGCTAGCAGTCAGTCAAGCAACAATCAAATACAGGGAGAAAGGAATGTTTCTATTTCCTGAAGAGGCTTCATAGCATTAACTGCTTCAGATGAAAGGACAGAGTCAGGCCAATTAAGGTTTTGCATCTTGAGCCTCAAAAGAAAGACCATTTTTCAACAGCACAAGGTAAGTTTCATCTTAACTAGCAAACTATACCTGTTAATGCTCATGCCAAATCTTAGAGACATTCTCTCAAGTCTTTCCCTTAATGCTTTTTGCTCAATGTTTCATCTAAACTTGCCACTTCATGGCATGAGACCTTATGAAAATGTTACTATTTCAGGCAATCAAGCAAGACCTAAATGAGTTTTCTTTAGAGGTGTTTCCCACATGAGTTTTCTCTCCAAGATAAAAGCAGATCATGCAGCACTAGACTTGCACTGTCCCTTTGCTCCAGCTGAGTATGACAGTGTTTCATTGTGGCATAATACAATACCAGATCAGCTGTGTGTGTGGTTTTCTTCATCCAAAACCAGTGTTCAAGTTTAGTTGAGCTCAGATTTAGGCAAATCTGAAGAACTTAAAATCCTGCAGACAACTTGTAGTCAAAGATCTCATCACTCACCTCTCCTCTCCTTTTTTGGTATGTTCCTAGAAAGTCACTCAGAACACAGGAATTCCTAAAGAGTTCTGCACCATCTCTGGGCTTCAGTTTTGGAAGAGCTCATTTCTCATCAATTATTTTTATTCATTACTGAGTAAAAACATCAAATATGTGCAAAACATGAAATACGAGGGGAAAAAAAAAGTTTTTAGTTGAAGATTGGATATACTGATCTCTGACCTTGGCTGTGACAATGGGAAGCACAAAGCACATTTAAACACCTCTATTCTTTGTAGATCTCTATCAAAACCAGGGACAGGAATGTTTAGGAAAACAATAACAAATTCTAGGTAAATCTGTTGGAGGTATTTGCATCTGTTTGACACTTCACACATCTCTCTGAAGAAGTAAAATTTCTTACCTTTAGGAAAACGAACCTTTTCAGAATCTTGAAAATTAAGTAACCCCAATACAAGTGTAGACCTTGGAGGGTCAATAGCATCCCATTGAAAAAAAAGTAGGCTATGACAGGAGTTGTGGAGTAGTATGTAGGCAGATAGAGCGTGGCACGAAGAATCCTGAAAAATATAAAAGTCACTGTTATGGTGCAAGATTTCTTCTCTGTGCTGTTCACAACTATTTCTAATTTCACATTCCAAACTCGTTAATATTAAAAAGCTTTGCAAAGTTGACAGATTCATTAACAAGCTCAGTCTTAACTAGATTATGCATCTCTATTGAAATATAGACTTCAGAAGATGAGAAGATCGAGTCTGCTACAAAAGTATTCTAAATGAGGTTAGACAAAGTCCCATATTTCAGATTGTCATCTGTGTGGTCTAGATCCTGTGCAACTCAGAGCTTGTCTAGGACTTTTTTAATATAAATTCTTCTAATCTGAAATCCACACTGCAGAGAAAATCCTACAGGCTTTGCCACAGGGCTTTTCCTTAATTAACATATGTTTTGTCCACCTTCAGATTTCACTACTTCTGTATTATTTAGGGCTTTTTGAGGCCCTTTAATCTCTTCATGTTTTGCTTCCAAGCTCAAGAACTGAAGAACAAGAAACTCAGTGAAGCAAAATGATTTGAGATCATTTGTAGAGTTAATGAAAAAAATAACAATAAAGTAAAAGACATCAGCACTTCTGAATGAATATACTACAGGAAATTAAAGCCTTGTGTTGATCAATGCTCAGAACTGTTAATTTATCCAGTTTGAGTCTCTAAGGGTTTGTCCATGTGCAGGGAGGGGCAGGAAGGCAAACCAGAGCCATGAAACATATTAAACATGTTTTAAAAGATAAGTATGTTAAGCACTCAGCACAGTAAGCACCAGTGTGGACACTCCAGACTAAATCACAGAACTCCAAAGACACGGAAGTATTTAGCAAGTTAAGATTTATTTGTGTTGACTTCCTAAATTAATTGTTTCACATCAACTTCTCTGAGTGTGTGAGTGAGGTGAGGCACTACCAAGAATTGGGTAGCAGAAAGAAGTATCTACAAAAACTCAACTACAGTCATGTACTGTGACTTTGCAGCTACAGCAAGAGGGGTGGAATGAAAGGATTTCTCCTAGTTAAGTAGCTGAACCCCCTTGAAAATGCAGAAGGCCATATCATTCAAGTACAATTTACAAAAAACAAGTCCAATTATACATAAAGTCCTTTATTTAGGTTAACATATCTTCAAGAGGCTCATCTAAAACTATTTTGACTCAAGAGTTTTTAAAGAAAATGACAGTTTTTGTCAGCTCATCTTGTCAGCCAGAAGTTCTGCTTCTGTCTCCAAAGTCCAATCCATCCCTTTCCTTTTCCCATCACAACCAATACTAACCTCTCAGTGCAAGTGAGAATGAAGTAAAAGCCTGTGGCTATATTAAGTATTGCTTACCAGAAGGGGAACAGTATGATCCTGGTGATGAAGAAGGCAATAGAAAAGATGACAAAGAGCATATTGCAGGTTTTCTCCCAGTGAGCATAATTAAACATTTTGGCTGCCTGCAGTGAATAAAAACAACCAAATGTATTACAAATATCCTCTGAAATAAGTTCTGCATTTTCATAAATAAAGACTCATCTTCCACCTAAGCAGGAAGAAAATTTCCTCCCAGTTTGACATGTAAAGCAATCATGTCACTGATGCCTAATAAAGCAGCACCAGAACAGTCTGTGTTTATACTTACCCTTTCATCTTAAAGGAAAGGACTCTGTGTCAAAGGCCTAAAGAACAACTTTCAGAGCAGAATATCAAAGTATCATGGAAATACACAGTGCTCTTGCCAACAGAGGTAATTCCTCATTCTGTACCACATTCCAAAGAGGCAGAATCCAAGAGAAGCTGTTGACAGCACCTGCATGCTCAGGAGTGATGGTGGTGCCTTACACACAGGTGTTGTGTGTGGTACATGCATGTTACTGACCCTCCTCTGGGCATAATTCAACTTCTGTTTTCTCCTTTTTGAGCAGGGGAGGTCTTAGTGTTGGTCTCTATCATGCTAAAAATGCTATAATTGCTGCTTCTCCCCTAAATGAACTGTACATGTCTCCACGTTCCATTAGGAACCACCCTGGGCACGTCGAGCAAAACAGCTGTTCTCAAGTGGGAGCAAAGCTTCAGGTGCCACACCTAAATTTTTAGGAACAGTTTGATTATGTTTTTTCTTTTTTTGAGTGGCAGGGCTGTATTAAGTTATTCTGATACTCAACTTCAGTTTGCATCTGAGTGCTGCTCTACCAGTTGCCAGCTCAACTGTTCTTAAGGCCACACAGTTAACTGGACCACAGAGCAGGTCAGGATTAAAAGTAACCCAGCAAAAACCCTGTATGCATTTGTTTCATCTGGACCAATCCCAGCTGCACAGCCCCACAATTAGGTGGTCCAATACCACAGAGAGAGTAGCAGGAGCAGAAATAGATGGTGACAGACAGCAGCCTACAAGGGCTGCTTACACTGGCACTGCCACCAAAACAGGTGATGAAACTACTCTCAATCCTGGTGTTACAAACTCAGGATACCTCTACTGAAGGAAACAGCATGTGTTTGTCTTCCAAGAAACCCAGCAGCAAGTCTGGGACCACAGTGCTGTGGGCAGAACAGGACACTTCTTAGTCTTCTAAACATTGATATTTAGTTCAGGGAAAGGACTTCTCCTTCAGTCCAGGGGAAGAAACTTTTCTTCTGCCAGTAGATACCTGTGATCTCATTCAGGGACAGCTTGAGTGTCTCCATCCTGAAGTGTTTAATGAAGAGTTACCCTTAGGTCAACACAAGACTGTGCACGCTAACAACATTTAGCCAGTTTGGAGAATCATAGAAATAGTCAAAATTTTGGATGCTAAATTTGCTTGAGAATTGGTGTCATGACAAGCTGCTCAAAGGCTTGACAGGACTAGAGGACATAGCCTCAAGCTGTGTCAGGGGAGGTTCAGGTTGGACAGCAGGAAGAATTTCTTCATGGAGAGTGTTGTCAGGCATTGGAAGAGGCAGCCCAAATTTCTTCATGGAGAGTGTTGTCAGGCATTGGAAGAGGCAGCCCAGGGTGCTAGAGTCACCATCCCTTGTTCAGTTCAAGAAATGACTGGACATGGCATTTTAGTGCTCTGGTCTAGCTGACAAGGTGACAATCAGTCCAAGGTTGGACTTCCTTGGAGGTGTTTTCCAGCCTTAATGACCCTAGGATTCTGTGGAGAACCTGGTCTAATTTTAACAGTGAAACAGGAATAACCCAGGGAGGCAGTTGTATTTCCAGTCCCTGTTCTGTTCTGAAGAACTTACCTTCTGCTCTTTTCTCATAATGGATTCTGTAACAGAGTATCATCTTAAATTATCTGGATGCTTTTTACCTTAGAATTTATAACTTTGTGGAGCTGTGGCACTCCACAGCTGTGTCACTGTGGGGGTGGGAAGGGATCGTATGAAACTTGTGGCAAAAAGATTAAAATGTCACTGAACATAACCTGGGCAACAACCAAATAAGCCCCAAAACACCCACCAACCACAAAACTCAAGAGGAAAAGAGAAAAAAAAAAGATGGAGAGCAGAGTTACCTCGAGCCAGAAATCTGCAGTGTCGTGCACAAATATCACCAGAGTTCCAAGTCGCACGTAATTGCCACACCAAGAGCCACTCATCAGCCCAATGGCTGCCAAGTGGTGAACGACATGAGCCATAAAATCCTGGCAAGGAGAGAAGAAGAAAGGTAAAGCCAAGCAAGCACAGCCCTTGAGGGTCTCAGTGGCTTGTCAGCCCCTGAGAGCAGCCCTGGCAGCCAAGAGCACGTGCAGGTGTGCCAGGCACAGACTGATGCTGCCCTCATGTGGCTCCACCAAATCCAGGATCCCAATGTGCTTTTCCTTACAAACACTTCTCCCTTGCTCACAGAAACAGAGGCTCTAGCTACAAACAAGCACAGCCACTTGCCTTCCTTTTGTTGTCAATCCCAAGGGTAAATAGGAGAGACCAGTAAAACCCAATCTCAGCCATGTAGTACCAGTACTGGGATGGCAGCAGGGTCTGTAAGGAAGGAAAACACACACTTAACTGAGAATAGCATAAAGCAAAAGCCAAGTGAAATTACTTCTTTTTTCCTTTCCTGACTTCTAGCTCCTCTGCTGAGTCTTGCTTAAAAAATTAAACTAAACTAAACCCCGTTCTGGGCTTCATTAAGGAGGATGTTTTGGGAGCCAAATATTTTAACCTTTGCTCAGCCCAAACTGTGTTTCTGCAGTTCCTCCCCCACCTCTCAATATTAACATGTTTTTCTCCATGGCTGTGGCAGAGAACAACATGCAGAGTCCTTCTGCATTTAATTACAAACAACTGCAAACAAACAAAGGCCTCCACTTGGTGAACAATTAACATATTAAATATGCACACATCCCATGACTGAAATGTCAGGTTTTCATGCTAAAATCCTATGGATCTGCTTAGGGCTCAGTGCTGAGCTTGGCTGCTCTCTTGGGTCTATTTCACAGGTGGCAGGTGTGCAGCAGGAGCTGGGAAAACTCAGCTGGGAGGCAGGATTCTTTTTGTTCTTAGCCCCTGCCTAGGACAGGAATTAGAAGGCAGTGGGATGGGGCAGAGATTTATAAAAATAAGAGTGCCTTGGAGCATTGTTGAGCCTGGTGCCAGCTTAGGGGTTCCACACTGAAACTGGGAACACAGATAACATCTCTGGAGTGCAACTGGTATCCTGGGGTGGGTGGAAATGACAGTGGTCTGACTGGAGGGGTGAGTTGCAGCACAGGCAGATGCCAGGGAAGTCCTGCAACAGTCAGCAGACATCCCAAAAAAAAAAAAAAAAAAAGGCAAAAGGCCCTGGTGCCACACCTCGTTAGGTGGTGCCCGTTGGGAGGGAAAAGGCTTCTGTGGATTACCCTTTCCAATGGGGAAATACCTGGAATGCCTGGAGGGCAATGGCCTGATGCCAGGAAGCTCACCTGAAATGGATAACCAACCCACGTCTGCCAGATGTCGTAAAACCAGGGTTTCTGGGGGAGACAAATGATTCAGACACTGCTCAGCCCAGAAACAATAAGTCACCTTAACTCAAAATCTTCACTACTTTAAATTTCTCTAAGTGGAGCAGGCTAAGGAGCTGCAATCTTGATAACTGTTCCCCACCAATTTCTAAAGGGATCTTCCTTCCATCTCAGATTTATTATATTGGTCCCAGCTTTTTGGCTTGTTTTCAGGACACCTGAAACCTTCCAGTTCATCATTTCATCATCCAAAGCAGTGGGTGTGTGTGTTTTATTACTGCAATTACTCAAGATATGTTGCCACAGTGATTGAATTTGCTGTGTTTACCAGTCACACACACCACTGGTTCCTGACGATAAGCAGTGTTTGGGGAGAAGAGCCAGATCCACGCAGACATGCCGAGATCTGCTCCGCTGCTCAGGGGAAGCATTAATGACACCCCAGGCAAGGCTCACATCGTTAGGAGCAGCCTTCTCTCTGTTACTCCCAACTTCTGACTCAGCAGCAACACCTCAATAAATAGCTGTGACCCCCAAAAATGCTGCCAGAAAAAGTTTATGGCCTCCTCCGAGAAACACGGCCATGTGATGCATTTGTAGGTGTTAACAAGGCATGCTGTAAAACCATCTGCATGACTTCTTAAACTTGCCTTAAAATACTGATTACTCAGAAATTCTTTTATCATAGAAGTTCAAAAGTTGATTTTAAAATTAAGTAAAACCTCAGTGCATATTGCAGCCCATCATCTAGATTACATACACCAAACGTCTGAACCCACTGAGCCACTGAAACCTTCCAAAGAGCTTCAAGAAAAATCTAGAAATCAGTCCTTATTTTATTAAAAATACAGTATCCATCTTTCAAAAAGTTAACTTACATCATACAGAAATATAAACCCAACGATGGAGGATGTAAGATAGAATGAAAATCTCCAGCTGCAAAATTAAAAAGAAAAAAATAAGAACAAAGCATTTTATTTTGTATTGATACTGCCCTGAGCCAATCACTCATCATAGACAATTCTCACGTAAATGTGGCCTCACCTCATTAAGGATAGTCACATATTAACTATATCTGAGTTATTAATAGTTTAATAATTAAGCTTTGGCTACTTGCTAAAGTAGCAAACTCTCTTACACTGTCACAATACAGATACCCTGGTTGTGAGGACAGCAGTAACTTTTGAGCCAGGCATGAGCTGAACAAGACAATGATCACAGCAAGTGTCATAAGCTCCTAACAATTAATGTCTGATAACACCAACCTTTCCCATTGTATCAATCCCTCTAGAACACCTCACAGCTCCCAGAAGGTCCCTAAGCCACATGGCACACACTTCCCAGCTGATCAGACACTGAACGCTGTGGCCACCAACAGTGACTTGTTCCAACCTCTGGGTTCATTTCCTTCCATCTCAGCACTGATTGTTGACAACAGGGGAACCTTATGAAACTAACAACTACTGGATTAATTTATGTCTTACTACAGAGGTCTGGATTAACAAGAACCTCAGCCTTTGCCTAGGTGTGCCAGCATTTAGCCTGATCTAAGCTTTTCATGCATTAAATGGATATCCTGCAAGGCAAATAAAACTTCCAGGTTTGCACCATCGATCGGGTAAGTCAGCAAAGGGAAAACAAAGCTCTTGTGCATCTCAGTGAAGTATGTTGTGGTTTATATGGATGTCAGAGCAGGATGCTGTGATTTGGAGGCAGCAATCAGCGTTGTAATGACTCTGGAGCCTGTGTGGGAGGTATTGTCCCTGGGACTGGGTGCGGTTGGAGTCTCAGCCTGAGCGTTCCCACTCCCACCTCTGCAGGTGATAGAAAACTTCCTTTCCATTCTTCCCCATTGCAGGAATAAGCCTGACCTTTCCCAGAACAGCTTTGCAAGATCAATGTGAAAACACTGCAGGACTCTGCATGCAAAGAAAGGCTGTGACCACAGGGACAGACACATGGACCCAAACCTAGTGAGAACTTGATCTAGAACTGGAGGACAGCAGCAAACAGCCTCCCAGAAAACCTAAATTCGATGAAAAGTAGGAGAGATCACCTCAAGAATACTGTATAAAGGTGTATAAAATGAGATTGTGGTCTTTGGCAAATATTAGCAAAGTGCCATAGGAGAGAAGATGTTGAGAATCTGTGTGGTAGAAGCAGCCCCTCCTTTCTGAGCCCCACAGCACCTGGAGGCTGAGAGCCTGGTGAAAGAATGAGATGCTCAAAGACTGAGACAGCATTTTATGAGAAAAACAACAAACAAAGGATGAGGACATGGAATGGCAGAGATGAGACAAGATAGTATGTCTCATGCCTCTGAAGGAAGCCAAGAAAACAATTACAAAATTGATACGCAGGTAATAAACTACTGTTTTCCTTCTCAACTTTAAAGCATCTTTCCTCAGATGATTTCAAAACAACACTGCAGAACACCCACTGTGTGGATAAAAGTAATTCAGAGGTACATGGTGCAAATTAGGAGGGCAAATGGGAGGGGAGAGTGGAAGCACAAGGAATACCTGGCTCAGAGTTAACCAAGAGGTGCTAGAAAACAACACTGTGGCATGGGATAGACTTTCCACAGCAGCTGGTGCTGCCCTCATGCCTCCTGTCTCAAGCAAGAGAGGTGTGAGTGGTCTAGTGGATATAGTGGGACTAATTCTTAGTTGGTTGCAAAATGTAAGTGGTTTTCTGAGTGAAATCCACAGCACAGAGCACCTCCAAGACTGTGCCATAGTCCCCAGCCACACAAATATGTGTTGAACACACTTGGCAATAAACAGTGCTTCAGATGAACTCATTAGACATACAAGACTGCCAGAGAACTACCTCATTTTGCATTCAGCCAAGCTTCTTTGTGAATTTGGTGACCAAAATCTGAAGTAAAACTCCTCCAAATTCACCAAATTTTACCCAAGTGCCTTTTAAACTCTGATCCTGGCCACCAGAGAGCACTGAGCAACAGCTATGCAAAAGGATTTTCTGATTTCACTTCAGGAATCTTCTCTTGACCTGAGTATAGCAACAAGAACTTAGTAGGGGAAGTGAAAGGCTGGGGAGTCTGTCAAGGCAGGGAAGGTTTCATGCAAAGGGCTTTCCAAACACAGTGTTGCTTAACTGGGAGCACTAATAGCTTAAGTATGGTTTAGATCTGCCTCATCAGATTTTGCTTGCGATTCAGAAAAATGATCCTGGAGATTGCAGACTTTCAGAAAATTTCATAATGCTCATCACACTGACTACTAGTGCAAGAATAACTCTGTTTCTCATCTTTTGCCTAGAGAATTAAATTCAATTAAATTCACTGACAAAGACCAGAGCAAGGTTCACAAAATTGCACAAGAGAAACCTGTTTGCTTCATTCTCACTCAAGTTGCCAAGCCAGTTTGAATTTCAGTCTTTAGCTGTGTGCTACCAGAGCTGTCCATCCATGGCAGGCAGGTCTTATAGCAATAGCAGGAAATTTTATTGTCACTGGTGAAACAAAGTTAACTCAGCCACAAAACAATGGCGGAAATAAACTATGTCTGTCAGCTTACCAGGACAGTTGACTCAACTCAGACTTCAGAGAGACAGGTCTATGTCTACCAACTGGATTTATGGCCAACAGAGGACATCACCAAACCATCATCACATTGATTCACACTGAAAATAATCTTGATAAAGTACTTTGAACTCTATAGCTGTACTTTTAACCCTCATTCCTTAAGCTTGTCTACACTAAAAGAGGTGAAATATAGTAATTAGGTGAATTTTCACCAATATAACTGTGCTAGTCAAAACTCAAATACACAGGGAATTTGGAAAGTGCTTTACACTGTTAACATTAGTATCCAGAAGTGATGAGCTATGTAAGTAAAGCCGTGCCCATTGGGGATTTACATCTTGTGTGAGAGTTTGGACCACAGTTAAATAGTTCAAGTGTTTAGGTATGAGGAAGTTCTCACACATATGTGAAAAATCATATGCAGGAGGTTTTGGAGCTTTTTACATATTCATTATTACCACTTAAAGGTACTCACTGGCTCACTCTGTGAGCTCCCATTTCACACAGTATCCCATGGTCAAGCTGTGACACCTGTCATTTAGTTTGGATGCCACAACTCCTCCTCTTGAACTGCCTTGAGTACATGTAATAGCATCCCAAAATAACAGCATGGGTACATAAACCAGAGAAAGCATTTTTCTCCTCCTATGATTACTGTCAGACAGGCAAATGTTCTCCTACTCTCTGCATATTCTCATCAAGCACTATGCAGCAGGAGCCTACAAATAAATCCATTACTCCACAACTAAGAAAAGCAAAATATTTTAAGCTGTTTCTTTTTCAGGGGAAACTGTTAACCTAATCTTTTAAATACACACCATTTAGAGAAATGCTTGGCAAATTTGCTTGGCATGCACAAAGCAAAGCCCCAGACAGACCTACTTTCTGGGAATGAATCCCCCTTAAAAGGCACACGAGGACCTTGATTTTTATTTTTTTTCCAAACAAGTAAACCCCATAATCACAAGATTATAGAATGTGAAGGGGTTGGAATGGACCTCAGAGATCATCCAGCCCCAACCCCTGCCCTGGGCAGGGACACTTCCCACCAGAGCAGGTTGCTCAAGGCTTTAGCCAACCTGGCTGTGAACACTGTCAGGGTTGGGGCAGCCACAGCCTCCCTGGGCAACTTGTGCCAGTGTCTCACCAGCCTCACATTCACCAATAACAACAACCAAAAGCATTGTCTTTTCTTACAAAGCTTCCTGGAATTTCCGAAGGACTGTTGGAATCTCAAGGTTTCGTCGCCTCCTGAACCACTTCTCCACCAAACGCACTGTGCAGTTGCACTTTTTGGCAAGACCTTGGATCTCTGACTGCAAAAAATGGAACAGTGTTAGCACCAAGATGCACTCCAGTGTCGCTTTCATTTATGTTGAACTTCACAGAGCAGCTGTCCACTGTTGTAAAATAGTAATTTAAAATTATTATCAGGATTAATTACGTTTGGGGGTAACCTTGCAGACTTCTTGGTTTAATTTTTGAGTAGCACTCAGAGAAACTCTGGATTTTTATTTATATAAATCAAGCAGGGATGAAACAGATCCACAAACTGTGCTACTGTTTTTCTGGTGGCTCCTGAGACTCACAGAGATGCAACTTTTTCTGCTAGGCAGGAGGTTGGGCTGGACGAGGAAGTGCCATGGTCAGCACACATGGACATCGTATCTAATATCTTACCTAATTAGAAACAATTACTTGGTTATATGTAAATGAGTCTTGCCAGCAAAACACGGGTTTGGAATTAAGGTGACCTGAGCTCTCTTCTCAAATCCAATGCACTTGTGTGGTACAGGGCAAGGCAATGTATCTTACTGAGCAGGGTCCAGACTGCTTCTCTTCAACTCTTGAAATGAACTGGGGCTAGAGCACTGCCTAGAATTGCACCAAGCCACTGGAGTGCATCTCTCAGGTGTCTCTGCATCATGTGTGCTCAAGGTGAAGCAGCTCTGCAGTGCAGCCACTCCAGCACGTGCTAAGCCTGCAGGCTTCCTCCCTCTCCTCCAGCCAGGTGTGGAAGGTGTGGGCTGACCTCCCCGGGGGCTGCTGCAGGAGCAGAGAGAGTGTTTGACTCATCCCTGGAGAAGTTCTTTCCTCCCAAGGCCAGTATGCAAATAGTGGGTGGCAGCTCCACCAAGGTAAGTCCAGTTCAGTTAGTCTCCTATGCTCAGGGAAACCTCTGGAATGTGAGCAAAGGCACCTCTGCTGCTGGGGAGGGCAGGAGTGCAAACAGCCTCAGTGTTCAGCCCATCCTGCTGGCTGGGGAGCTCTCTACTTGCCACACAGGAGAATCAACTTTGTTTTGCCAGACAACAGAGCCAGGATGCCCTCAATTGCCAGCCAGGCCTCTGCATGCTTTCCCAGGCACACAGAGCTCCCAGCTGGATACATAAAGGAGACAGCCTGAATCCTTCCCATGCACTGCTGAGTATAAAAATGCTGTGCTTCCATTCAGAGATCAATTGTCAAACTGTACTCATGCAGAGGGAAGGCACAAAACAGATTGGGATACCTGCCCAGATAGAGAAGAGCTCATATGTGAACAGAATACATCTACTCCTGATGATATCAGGCAAAAGACACAATAAGAGAAGAGCAGAGTTAGGGATAGAATTTAAAGTTTTATGTATCAGTAATTATCAAAACCCCTCATTACTAGAAAGCACATATTTCTTTTTAAAACCAGTGAGGAACATGCAATTGTTTGGGAACTGCAGTCAGGTAAGTGAACTTCCTGAGGCTGCACTCCCAGCACAGTACCTGTTTCCAGCAACAAGTTGCCTCATTTTTGGAGATGACAAACATAGGCTCTTCTTTTTTGCCTTGTTCAATTTCAAAAACAAACAGCAAGGTAACAGCAAGGTTGCTTTTCTCTCTCACGTAAGCCAGGATTAAGTATGCAGCAATATAAAGGATCAAAAGGCTTCCGTGCCAGCGTTCCAGTAGTATTGCTTGCAATAAATATGATACAACTTCCCAACAACAGATGTCAGCTGATGCTTTCTCCAGGCAGAATAAGTTAAAGATGGAACACTGATCTTCACTGGAAATATTATTAACAGTCTAACCTAGAATATCATGCCAGAAAGTTAAACATCTAAATGTATTTTCTGTTTGAGCTGCCATAGTCTCTTGTCAGCAGAACAGCAACAAAAACCCAAATATATTAAGTCATCTGTCAATCGGCTGGAACTCATCCCATGATGTCATTGCTGATAGCTGATTGAAACAGCAAGACTGGGATTTTCCAAAAGCAAAAACAGTGTAAAAGTATGAGAATCCTTACTTGGGATGGATGTCTTGAGCACTCCCGGAAATAACTCTCTAAAACAGGATTAGGCTGTGGCTTCACACGTCTTACATTCTTTATACCTAAGGCTTTTGCTAGAGGTATAGCAACATATCTGAAAAGACACAGCATGAAAAACTTTAGAAATACAATGCAGTTACAAGACCTTGGCTGTTCTCATGCCAAGAGATGAAGAAAACAAATCTGACTCAATTTAATCTGCCATAGGATGTGCCAATGCACTGGGAGAGAAAGGGATCTCCCTCTAGCTAATCCCAAGAGGGAACCACAGCATATCAGTAGTTATATAAAAAAGCAGACCCAAGGACTCAAATTTGTGGTCATGAAATGGTATCAAACTAAAGGAAATATCCTGACTTTTGTGTCCTTTAGTGTTCTTCAGAGGCATATTGGAGTTAAGCAACAGTTGAGGGAGAGTGAAATAAGAACAGATGCTCTCTCCATGTAAGCTCAAGATTGCTACTGGGCTAACTTTCTCTCCTAGTGGCAGAGTCACTTGGCACATTGCTTCACTGGGCTACCACTGCCCACGCTGGGTTCAGCCTGTGGCCTCTGGTCTGTGGCACACAGCCATTCCCCCAGAGACTGAAGGCTTCTCTCTCCTTCATTTTCCAATCCAAAGCGCTGCAGAGTGTGCCAAGACCTTCACTCTTCTACTTGGGCAGGCTTTTCTGAAAAATCTCCCCTCACTCCTGCTGGTATCAGTACCTGATTCCTTTTTCCTCATAGCAGTGGTCAGTTTTCCTCAGCCATGGGCAGATGTGTGGGCTAATTATCCACACCAACCACCCCCAATAGCAGTGCAGTGAGACACACTTGGGCAAGCATCTGCTCAGGAGACACTGGGAATGGTTATAAACATATGATCCAAATCAGTTTTGATTTCCAACATGATCTTATCTGCTTCTGTTTCAAGCGCATCCAACTTACGACATTGCAAATTTCCTCATTCTACCCTGCAATAATTCTAAAAACCTACTAATCACATTCTTTAGAGAGGAAAAAAAAGGAAAGTCAAGCAAAAAAGGTACAAATAAGTAAGTCAAAGCACTGCAAGTCTTAACATAATTGTAGCTTTCTTCTGTGGAGCCAATCTCTGCCTGTCCCCTAAGATTCCAGCTGCAGAAGCAATCCATCTTTTGGTGCCAAAGTAAGGAAAAAAAAAGGAATCAGCTTTACTAGATCTGCATAAAATGTTCACACAAAACTTTGAGAACCCTCCGGTCTGCTTAGTTTGGCTACAGCTAAGCACCTGGGACCTGTCAGCCTCACACAAGTGTTCTGGTGCAGGATCAAGTAAAAGGAGAGGTTTGTTTGGGAAGATAGATAATTCTATCCTTCCAGCAAAGGAGAAAAAGGAAAAGAAAACCCAAATAATTTGGAATTAATTGTGTTTCTAGTGAAAGGAGGTAATTAGAAGTATTTAAATGCTGTTTTCTAGAAAAGTTAGAAACACCCTCCTAGCCTGGACACAGTCACAAATTCCTGATAGTGAAAATACTTCCCAATTTTTCACCTGTCACATTATCTGTATGAGATCTCTCTAGCAAACCACCAGCTAATCCTCCTTTATAAAGCATGAGAACATTGATCTAAAGATATCTTATTTTCAGCATTAATGAGGATTACCATTAGCATCCAATTGCATTTCTGTTTCTTACCTTTCACTGAAGAATCGGATAATCAGCAATACAAAAGCATAGGGAATTGTGGCATATAACTGATGTGGTTTTGGAAAGACAAGTCCCTCACGGTCTACAAAATCTGCCCATGTGCAGTTGATTGGCATCCAGATATTCTCCCACCAGAACCAGCTGTTGAGTGTCCTTAGGATGTAGGCCATGCTGGGTAAATAGAATCAGAGAATCAGTCATAAAGAGATAATTAAATTTATACCTGGTGTATTAAAAAGAAAATGCATGCAATAAAATGTATTTAGCCTTGTTGTGGAGAGCAGTGGTTCCCTGCAGGACATTTTTCAAAGATAAGGTCCAAGCAGCAGCAGAGGTTCAGATTCCACAAGAACAAGTTGTCCTGGCCTGAATAAAATGGTTTAGGTTGGAAGGGACCATAAAGCTCATCTGGTTCCAACCCTAAGCCATGGGCAGGGACACCTTCACTAGACCAGGGTGCTAGAATGGAAAAGAAATGAGAAAGTCCAGGAAGTGATTCAGGGCCATAATAATGAGGACATTTTGCTGTTTGATGTGCTAATGGCAATATATACCTCAATCCTGATTTTACAAACACCTGGGCACAAGAACAAGTGGGAAAAATACAGTGCACAGCAAGGATTTTCTGGGAATTGCAGGAAATCCTATGATTTAACTGTGACCCAATCCTAGATCAGAATAAAATGTCTAAAACCAGTTCTGGAAGGAAAAATATTTAACTCCAATTAAAACATTTCATTTTTGTAAAGGCCTCATTTTTAGCCTTTGCATTCTACATGATATATTTAGACATTTCTGTTCTCACTCATTTAGTTGTAAGGACTTTACAGTACAAACATGTTATATATCCTATAAAAATATCCTAACCTTGAGGAAAAATAGAGCTTACTATAATGTTTTCCATAAGGCTGAAATACCTATTTTTTCTAAAATTTCTAGGAATAATAAATTTAAATTATATCTTCGACGGTAAAAAATTCTGTAAATCAGGAAAAACACGAGGAAGTAACTGATTTCATTGAAACAGTTTTGATGAGGAAACAGTTGTGCTGGGAGGATGGCAACTGAGTCTCCTCCTTCCCATTAGGTCTCACAGTGATATATTTGTACAGGATCAAATGATAAGATCCAATCGTGCTGAGTTCAGACAGTATCATAGACTCACAGGATATCCTGAGCTGGAAGGGATGCACAAGGATCACATAATCATAGAATTTTAGGGGTTAGAATAGACCTCAGAGATCATCCAGACTCAACCCCCTGCCCTGGGCAGGGACACCTCCCACCAGAGCAGGTTGCTCAAGGCTCATCCAACCTGGCTGTGAACACTGCCAGGGTTGGGGCAGCCACAGCCTCCCTGGGCAACCTGTGCCAGTGTCTCACCACCCTCACAGGGAAAAACTTCTTCCTAATATCTGATCTAAATTTTCCCTCTTTGAATTTATACCCACTGCTCCTTGTCCTGTCCCCCTCCAGCTTCTCTGTAGGCCTTCAGATACTGGAAGGTTGCTATGAGGTTGGTCATTGAAGTCCAACTCCTGGCCCTGCACAGGACATCAGGAGCCACATCTATGCCTGAGACAGTTCACCGAATGCTTCTTGAGCTTTGTCAGGTTTGGGGCTGTGACCACCACCCTGGGGAGCTGTTCCAGTGCTCAACCACCCTCTAATAACCTTCTCCTAACATCTGTCCTAAAATCTCCCCTGACACAGCTTTATGTAATCATTGCTAGTTCAGGCCTTTTCATGTCTCTCTGTTTGAGCAGGGGCCACAGGACTTCATTTGTGCCTCAGCCACGTGTAGCTGCCTCTGTGCTGGTCAGGTCCCTGTGCCCAGTTCACTCACAGCAGCATCCTGGACTGGGGCACGGATGGGTCTGGAGCTCAATGATGAATGGACAAACCAACCATCATTGGTCCACACTCAGCTGAAGCCTTGGAGCAGGTTTGTGAAACAGTGACCTGTATCCACCAAACAGAGCTGGGTTAACAGCCACTGTGGATCCCTTTACTGGCCAAGCACAGTAGTCAGAATTGACTATTAATAACCCAACCACTTAATCTTTTTAAATGCCAAAAGGGGACAGTAAAAACCTCCTGAATGAGCCGTGTGTGTATAAGCAAATGCAAAAATAAAGGAGGGAGAAATCACAATTGGTCCTGCACTGAGACTTTATATGCCAAGTTTCAGCCTAGAGCAATGTTTTACTGCTGAATTATAAACTCCTGGAAGTTGGGATTTATACTGGGGCTGCTCCCAGACCCTTAACAACAGCTTGCAGGCGCCACCATAATGAAGGAGGGCTTTGAACCAGGACATTTTGGGGCAGACAGAAAGGCTTGCAGACAATCTACCCTAGAAGACCAGAGGAGAGACTCATTACACAGTTCTGCTTCCTAATATATCTGTACTTTTTAACTAGACTGTGCACTGCAAACTATCACAAGCGTAATAAAAACAGAGCACAGTGGAAAGAGCACTCCCAGTTGGACTGTGGTGAGGTGGGTTGTGACTGAACACCAAAACATGTGCACCCAAATGGGTTTGGGGTCCTGGGTCGTGACTAAGCATGCACCCAAAGCATTTAAACCCTAGAAAAATCCATATTTTCATATTGGATTCCTGGGATCTCACTAATTCATGCTTTCCTTCCACACATGGATGCCTCACCCTATGATTACCTCTTAAACTAGTCAATTAACTATTAAACAAATGCACTATTAAACTAAGCTCATAAGCATATGCTCAGCCTTTCAATTTAAGGGAATTCTGGGGTTTGAGATCTGCTCACAGATTTCAGCAGAAACCCTTCCTCCCAAAGCCCAAGCAGACCCGTGGAAAGGTGAGCTCCCTTTGGCAATCCCTATGTTAGGACCTGCCTTGCCTGGCACACAGGTGGTTCATCCCTGATGAACGTTATCCAAGTAATTCTTAGACACTGCTGCTGAGATTCCAAACCTGCCTGCAGTCTGTTCTTAAGTTTCATTACTCTTAAATTGGATGTTTTCACTGCAGCAAGTCAGGCCATTCCCCAGGAAGTCTTGGAGATTTCCATCTACATAATAGCAGCAGTTAAGTAGTTAGGCTGTTTTCCTATCTCCCTTCAGCTCTCATCATGAGGTTCCTAGAGCACCTGGAAGGTCAGGAAGACCTTACAACCACACCTGGGCAGCACTGACATGAGTGTGAGTGAGGAGGCACCAGTGGCCACCAGTTGCAGTGCTGGAATCAGGCTGTAGATACTGGATTTCAAAACCAGACAATGTTTTTAGCTTGCACAAACTCACACAAGCAGTTATTCTCCCCTCGTGCTGCTCCCAACCAACAGGCAGAGGATGCAAAGGCACAGCTTGGCCTGATCTGGGATAAAATCCAACAAGAACCTTGAAAGCCTGTCCAGCCTGAACCTCCTAGTGCTGAGCCCAGAGCTTTTCCTTACAGTTTGTGGCAGCACCAAGCAAGGAGTGAGAAAGCACAACAGTGAGTGACTCATGTTCTGCCCAGTGTAGGATGAAAGAAACCTCTGCTTCTTCCCAGATCCCTATCCATACACCAGCACTGCCAGTGACCTTTGCATTGACACAACTGGAACTGTTGCTCCAGAAGGGAAAGTCAGTCTAGCAATAGAATAAAGATATTTCAGAAAACTGAAGCTCCTCTGCATCTTGGGAATTAAATACTCCACTTACAGAAATCTAATCACCTCCCTGCTATGGAAGGATCTCCTCTGGAGCCTAATCTAGTTTTAAATGGGCTAGTGCAAAACAGGAAAATCAGGAATGATTACATCAGCAACTGCATCCTTTATAATTAAAGGAAAGCCTACACAGTTGGGAAGTATCAATGTGAAGGTTCTTTTAAAGCTCTGGTTCTTGGATCCTTGATGTATTCAATAAAATAATATTTTTTAATGCTATTCAGCAAATAAAAGGGCAAAGTTTGGTTTGACAAAAGCTATGTGGCTACATTTTGCAAAACAAATTCAGGAGCTGCTTTGAAGTGGGATTTTTGGCTGTTGCAGTCTGGGGAATTAATAAAAAGAAACAGAAACAAAGCTTTGATTGTATTTTCTGCACAAAAGCTGTCGCTTGCAAAAACTGCATTTCCAATGCCTGAACTAAGAGAAGGTGATGTCCAGTTTGCAGGATGTGTTAGGAGGAATTTCTATCCTTATTTACTGAATAAATTAGAGCACCAAATGCATCAACAACACAAACAGACAAGTGAAAAAACTCTTAATTTTTAAGCATCTTATTAGTCTCCTCAGTGTGACTCCAGACGTGCAACAGGGAAAGAATGAAATCAGCAAAAGTATAACATAATTTTGCTGTTTGGCAGAACTGGTAAAGCTGCACAGTGACTGCTGGGAAAAATCAAATCTCCCAGATATTAAAAGAGATAGAAAAGCTGTTCCAGGCTGTTAATTATCAGCATTAAACAAAAGTTGTTTAAAAGCATATAACAAAGATCAGACCCACCATACCACAGGTTTTGCTTCAGGCTCAGCAATATATCCATGAGTTAACACACAAGTTTCAGCAGATTTGTGTTCTGCTACAAAGACAGCTTATTGCTTAAAGAATCCCAGCTGAGATCACCACCATGAAACAGGTGAACAAATATGGGTCCTGCACGTTGAACTATGGTTTGTGGGGGAAAGGACAGAAGGAAGGATGTTGGATTGATGGTACCATCAACCTTTGCATAACCTCTTTGCATCTTCTCTTTTCTCATCTTGTTTGTCCCAATATGAGAACATGACTCCAGTTGGATTCTGCACAACCTGAGCCACAGTGTGACTGACATCTCACCCAGCTGACACATCCCACCCATGGCAGCAGAGAATTAAGGAGCTGCTGGACTCAGAGGTTGTTATGATGAAGCACTGAAATACTCCATCCACATAAAACAGCTGAATTAAGATTGCTATGAGACCTTTAATTTCACATTTACTCCCTCACTTGGACAAATCTCAACTGTAAACACTTTAAGTGCCTAGTTATAGGGCAATTACAGCATTTTACTACTTTTACTGTTCTATCACATTACCTTGTAACTTGGGCACTGTATTGTGCAGGCTAAAACAGCACTTGGAATAAATCTCAATTAAGGTGACAAGTGAGTTTTATATTTTTCCCTGTTCTCTGAGGGGGAGGAATAAAAAAAAAAAAAAGCAAGAACTCTTTGAAATAATTCATTTTGTACCATGCTCTCTCTACTTAAAGGTAAATCATTTCTGAGCAGCTAAAATGGTTTCAGCTGACAATACACAGTTCTCAGGCTGCACAGTTACAGTGAAGACTAGGCTTTTAAGATTTAAAAATTCATAACCTGGACAGAGAGGGATAAAGTGCTATGAAATAACTCAAATATCGGCAGTAACTTTGAGATAAAATAGGAGCTATTTGAAAAAAAAACAAACCCTATCCAAACTACAGGCTCTCAGTAGATGCTAAATTCATAAAAGGTTCGAACAAACCTAAAGGAACTTGTGACTTCCAGAACTTAGTAACACTGGTTAGAATGTAAGGAAAAATCTTTCAAATTATTACATTTTTCTTCATGTTATTACTATTGGGGAGAGATGCAAAAAGGATTATTGTTTGTAGCTTGTAAATTTTATTTGAAATAAAAACCTGAAGTCTGGCTTAAAGTGCTGTTAGATAATGGAGATTTTACCAGAGTTGTGAGTCTTTGTGGCCACTTATTTGAGCTAAGGGCAGAGAAGCCTCAAGAGGCACATGGGTACACAGTGGTACAACTAGAAGTCCAACGGCACCACAAAACATGTGAAGACAGCAGTAAAGTGAGGAACTAGAGGGAGGACCTGAGGGTGCAGGGGCTGTTGGCTTCTCCACCTTCTGAGGATGACTCAAGGTTTTAAATTAGCCTTTGGAAGGCAGGAAAGGGCCTGGGCTGGTGCATTTGCACTCTGGAAAACTTATTTGCAGCTTTGTGAATCTTCAGCCATCACGTACACACAGGGGCTCATGCTTGGACATCAACTGTATTGATCTCTGCACAACCCCAAACCAGCAGTTACACCACCCTGTGCTCCACTGTTCCCAGCTCTCCTGGTTATCCCCTTCTTTGTAATTTAACCTGCCCAGACATTTCCCACCCACAAACCCAGCCGGAGGAGGAGCCAGAACAGAACTGGTCTTTCGTTATTTCAGCCACTTTGCCATACTATTCATGTCCTAACAAATGCAAGAGGGAGATCTTGAGCTAAATGTGAGCCAGCACAGCCTCTCCATCAGCAGTGGCATCCCAGCTGGAGAGCTGAGCCATGCCAGGAAGGTAGTGAGGAATAGAATTCATTACATAAACTGAGAGGAAGACATGATTGGAGTTCCTCCATCCAAATGTTCTAGAATTGCTGTGAAATAACCCTTGCTGGCTTGTCTAAGTTGTTACCTACAGCCCTAGCTTCTGCAGAACTTCAACAGGTAAGACTTCCATAAAAAACTTTGTTAAACTGGATTTCTTAAAGAACAACTTTTTTTTCTTAGCGTTTGACAGAACAAAATGAGGACTAGCTTTGCAAGCAGTTTAAATTCAAAGGCTTTTGGTATGCAATCACATTTATAGCATTAGTAAACATTTTTTCCTATTACTATATTTTCCTCCCAGCTCAGAATGAAGTGCTCTTAGGAGCACTTCATAGGACAATGATATGAGAAGCAGAAAACCAAAGCTACTGCTATAACCTGTACTACTTTTTAAAATAAAAAAAGCAGTTCTCATAAGTTGGAATATTTAGTGGCAACATATAAGATCTCATTAAGGCCATTCCATTCTTTATCTGAGGACTATCAGAGTTACTCTAATCTTCCCTTACAAAGCAAGGCTAGAGACCACACAGTCTGATGTCAGGAGAGGGAAAAAAAAAAAAAGCCCAACAAAACCTTCCAGAATAGAAAAAAAAAAAAAAAAAAAGGAAAAGGAATTCCTACCTTGATGATGTTGCAGTCCAAGAGACCTTAAGCACGTTAGCAGGGAAGAGGCATCACACTCACTCCTTTGGCTGAGGTAAACACGCCCTATCTCCAGAACCCTTACAAATTCCTCCCAGTCCCACCCAGCAAAGCTGCACTTCAAGATTTCTGACTGAAGGCAATCCTGATGTCATCCACATCCACTCTGTGAAACTCAGGAGCACTGACTCCGAGTGCCTTCCCTTCTGCTCCTTTCAACACAGCAGATGAAGAAATGTTTGGAGTCACGTGGTGCTTGGTTGCATGATGAGAATTTGTCTCACCTTCTCTTGCTCCACACACACACAGGAGGATGCTGAGCCTGCACAGAAGGAAAGGCCAAATGCAGCACTTCACTCTGACAGGGTTTAGATGCATTCTTAGATGAAGTGTGGGGGTTTAAATAAAGTTGGAGAGAGGTTTCTGCTCACATTGACCAACCTGTGCAATACTTCCAGCCACACTCAACTGACTGTTTTATAAGTGTTCTAGTTCCTCAGAAGATCTAAAGTGGAAGTTCTGAAATTGCTAAAGCAGAGGGTAGCACACACTGAGTGTGTGTTTGGTTAGAGATCACATAAATATGTCAGTTTTACTTACCTTTATGTGCTTTCTAATATTTCTTTTAATTCCATGCCTAAGGCTGAAAGTCATTTCTCAGCAGCTCTCCTCAGTTTCAAGTAACAGCCTTAAGAATAGTTGGCATTACTTAGCATTCTGGTGGTCAGGACACCTTGATGATGGAAAGGAAGGAGAGAGCCCCACTGGCACACCAGGAGCAGAGAACCTCTTACAATCCCTTTCTTGCAGCAACCCATGAAATGGGAACAGACACGTCAGAGAGTTGAGCCCAAGTTTCCTCTCACCCAGCAGAGTCTGAAGGAAGCCAATAGCAAATGGCTATGGAAGAAACACAAGTAATAACTGGTAGTGCCCCCAGCCTGCAGGAGTCTGGGGCTCAAAGGCTTTCCTAAACCACAGATGGTGTCTAGGAGATAACCTTGGAGAGGTTTCCCCCCAGGCCTTAATTTCCACAGCTCCCTTTGAGCATATTGAAACTTTCATCTTAATCCATAAACCTGCAATGAAAGACGTGACCCAGGCAAGATTTGGATCCTGTTCATTTATTTTCCTTCAGAGAAAACTGTGGTTTTGTTCATGTTGCCTTTTTTTAGGTACAGTATCTTGCAGCTCTTGCAGGTCCATAAAACTGGGAGTGGTACTCAATAACTGATGCACCAGAGAAGCATTAAACATGAGGGATTATTTCAGCAAAGATTATGGCTTTGCTGCTGCTTTAAGTGATTTCCATACTTTCTCACATCTGAACCAACAACTATTATGAACCAAGGAGAAGATTTAGGAACACTCTGCCAATTAGGAAAGCCTAGAGCAAGCTGATTCATATATCACTTGGCTAATCCTGTGCCAGTAATGGAATAGGTCATTGGCAACAACACAGTTCTTATGCCTCAACCCACAATTTCTTCACTGCTACACTAAATTGCAAAAATCACATTTGTTTGACTGAGGCTGCTACAAATAAATACATGGGAAAACCTGTTTTTACATCCTTTTTGAGGAGCACTTGTGAGGTTGCACATGCCACCTACGCAGGATGCTATTAGAAGATTAAAGATATTACATGGTGAATAACAAGCTAACCATAGCTTCTTGATCAAAGTGCCCACTGACCTTGCAATTACTGCTGCACTTTCAGAGTGATTATCCTTCAGGTATCTGAAATCTGAATGCTGCAAAAGAAAAGAAAAATCAAACAGAAAATCACCTTAGTTTGTAGCCTCACTGAGAAAATAAATAAAAATCAAAAATCCAAGTGTTACTATTCCTTATTTGCAGCATAACATCTACTCAGTCATTGGACAACTAAATATAACTAATAGAACTAAATATAATGACTTAATATAACTAGATAATGGAGTCATAGATTCTACTCAAATATTTACACGTATTTTCCAGTGATATGCAAAATAAGTTCTCAGTAAAAAAAAGTATTACTCTTTCACAGAATGTCACAAAATTCCATTTTCCAGGCAGTTAAATGCATCTATCAAATGACAGTGAATCCACACACTGGGTGTGAGCTTTCACCTGAGCTTCCAAGCAGTTACATAAGAGAGATTATAGTATTAGTTAACTTTCTCAGTGGAGAAAACCCTCTTGGCAAATCTTTGAGACTGTATTAAATCTTTCACTTCTGGAATCAGAGCTGGTGTATGTAGTGGCATCTGCAAGGGGAGGAAGGATAAAAAAACTAAACAAAAAAAAATAATCCCAAGGGTTTCTTTTGTTTTCCTTTATACAAAAAAAGCCCCAAACAAACAAACCTGGAATTAATCTGGGGAGCTAAAAATAAACGTTCTAAATACACCTAGATGTTTTTGCTAACTGATTACGTCAATGGCAAACTTAATTAAATCTCAGTCATATGTATACATGGAGAAAAAGTAGGAAACAATTTTATCATTTTAATCTAATAATCATCATTAGGACTCTGAGTTCTCTTTTCAGCACCAGTAAAAGCCACCTGCTTGCCATCAGGCATCCCTTCAAGACTGAAGTAAAAACCTTGATATTCCAATACCTGAAAATTAATCATTTCAAGTCACACAGTCCAAGGACATCAATATCTTAACTCATAACCTTCAACCTCCAGTTTACAAGCTAAGTTCTTCCTCTTCACATGAATTCACACCTTCTCCTAATATTCCAAACCTTCCCCACTTAAAAAAGGATGAAAAAGTCTATTTACAACCTCTCAAAAAGTTTTTCCTCAAGCCCTTTCTTACCAGTTTGACCTGATTCATAATCCATATCCTTACAGGGAGAGGCTCAGTAAGGAGAGGCTCATTACTAATTAATTAGTAATGCTATCTGTCATAATTGAAGACTTAGATACCTGATTTTGAACACAGGAAGCATTAAGGTAATAAATATTTATCATACCTGAATCCCATTACAGGATTAAATCAGGAAAAGACAATTTGAACACAAAGGCTAAAACCTGCAAAATGCTTTATCTTTTCACATTATTGTTTCAGAACTTGGTGCCGTGAATTTTAGAGTCAGAGAACTCAATGTTTTGGCAATCTGGACTTTAAGAAGGAAGATGACAATTGGCTAAAAAGGGGATGTCAGTAGCAATACTGGAAGGATAAAGCCAGTGAGGGAACACTAACACACCCTACTGCTGATCCAAAGTGCCACAGGCTTCGGATATGCCTTAGGATAAAGGCTTCAGGAAAAGCCATGGACATTACCTGGGGACTTCCTTCTAACCAATGTCTCTCACACATTTAGCAATTGAGAGATAGAAACACCACAATTATGCTCTCTCTTTCAAGTCACAAACTCTTGGCTGAACCCACAGTGTATCAATAAGCCTCCCAGACAGGAATTAGGAATCCTCTCAGGGGCACAGAGATGTACACGTGATTTAGTGAACAATTCATCAGCTTAGTTTGGTTAGCATTCTTTATGCAAAATCCTAGTCTGTTTTGACTTTAAATTATCCTTGGTGAGGAGGTTTATTTCTTTCCCCTTGGTTTAGCACCAACTTGTCCTTACAGGCCAAATTCCCCTTTCCAGTCACCAGAAACACCAGAGCCATTCCAGTATCACTGCCTATCTATATAAGGTACTTTCCCCAAGTTTGTCACAATACATTTGAAAAGGTAAATTTAGCAAGAAGAGTAACTTTGGGTGCTCAGAAAATCATAGCAAGAACAAGTGTATCCAAGGATTGACTTTACAGTTCACCTTTTCCCCTCCACACACAGCACAGCCAGTTCACCCAAACAACACTCCCATGGGCAATCACTGTCTTAAGATGCAGAATAACACAATCTTCTGGCTGCAACACAAAGATTTGACAATTAATCCAATCAATTTAGAGAGTTTCTTAATTCATTTCCAACAGCCCAAATAAGACAGGATTAAAAAAAGGTGCCTTGTTGATCCTTGGAGCTGGAAGCACAGGTTTAACAACCACATGGAAATAAACCTCAACAATTTGTAACACTTGCACATAAGACAATGCTGCAAACACTGATTACATTAGTAGGAGACTCTTAGAGCATCAATCTTTATCCACCCACAGAGAACACAAGTGAAAAATAAGAGCATTTGCTTGGTGAAACTCAAAGGCATTTCCTTTGATGCTTCACACCCAGCAGCTCCCCTCTTTGCATCAGCTGTTAGTTGCAGAAACAGTGACATCATGGGGGGGGTCAGTAATTTCAGCTGAGGTGAAGAAACACTTCTTTAGCAGGACCAATGCTGTGTTGAAGATGACCAAGTACTGGAGCATCCCTTCAGATATATGATCAAAAAAAAATGTTTGAATTTTACATTTGCTGCCTAATGGATCTTCACCTAACTCTCACCAGCTGCACTGGTGTCAGCATGAAGAGAACACCATTTCAAACACAATTTTCTTGATTATAAATACTGTCGAGGGAGCCAAGTACTGGGGATAAGTTTTTCTGTTTCAGTTAAACCCCTACATAAAAAGTCTATAGCCACAAAGTTACTCCAAGAGCTGACAAACTCCAGAAGGTTGTATTGAAGATAAAGCAAAGGATAAGCATTGGGAATATAGAAAGAAGTACATAGGATTTTGTCATTTGACTACAAATCCCTTTTTACTTAATCAGTACACATTGTTTTGCCAAATAGGCTTCAGATTCTTCTCCACTGTTTTCCATGGAGCTATCTATTACTTCCTTCGAATTAGCTATGGGCACTTGGAACTTCTTTGAAGCTCCACAGAAAAATGTTCACGTTTCAACTCTGTAGCACCAGGATGAGATGGGGCAGATCCTTGGACAACTCTGCTGAGCAGCTACAACTCCTGACAGTTTGAGGGTATGCACACACAAACATTCCCTACAACCTTTTGAGGAAGCCAACACCCAGCAGTGCTCACTTCGAGGCTGTGTGTGCTACTATTTCAGACCATCTCCTGAAAGGACATTGCTGACTGACAAAACTCGTGTTTTGCAGCACAGGAAAATAAGAACCAGAAATAACTAAGGATATTCTAATTCTCCAAGCAAGATTTTTTACCACAAAATAGATTGTCCTTCCATTCTTGCTGTAAGCCAGCAGCAAGTCAGCTTGTCTATTAAAGAACATCTATGACAGTTATCTGCTATAAACTCGTTCAGACAACATTTAAGATGATAATGACTTGGAAGAGCTTAAATCCCTGAGGTGTTTCACAACAAAACCCAGGTCCATGCCTGCTGTTGAGCTAGGGACAATAAAAGACTACCTGGCATCCATTCTGACACACTCTTGGCTTCTAACAAGATCTCAGGGTGAACCAAGTGGACTAAGAGTTGTACAAAACACAACAAGAATCTACAAACTCATTTGGACAACTCTAAGGGGAAATATACAGAAGTAACACTGTAATAACCGCAGTATTTTCATTCCTACTGGTTGTGGTAAATCCCTGATACTGACTTCAGACACCATCCCAGGCTGATTTCAGAAGAAGCACAAACAAAGCTTATTCTCCAGCAATAAACGAGGGAACAACCCCTTATATTCCCAGCTTTACAAGAGTATTGTAAGTATAGAAATTCCCAAGGTTGGTTTTTGTTCTTGTATTACAGGATTAGAGCTTGTACCTCAAGACTTAAAAGCAGAATGGTAAGCAGTCATGAAAATATTGGATAAAATCCAGTTTGAAGAACCACAGGCATGGAACCACCTGGATTCAGCTGTAACTGCAGCCAAGCTCTACAAATATTCAAGTTCAAAACTATTCATTTTAAAAGGCACATCCTGTAAGCACTTGTACTGCTGTTTACTTCATAGAATGGTAGAATTTTGGGGGTTGGAATGGACTGTATACATCATCTAGTCCCAACACCCCCTGCCATGGGCAGGGACACCTCCCACCAGAGCAGGTTGCGCAAGGCCTCATCTAACCTGGCTTCATTAGAGCATGATTTATTCTATTGATGTTGAAGGTAAACTCCTCAAAACAACTGAAAAAATGGAGACTGTGGACATTTTGGGGTCAGTGCTCAGAGAGAAAACTATGTCCACACAGGTCGCCTGATTTGTTCTGTCTTGCTCTGAAATAACCCAAGGAAAGTTGATAGATATCAATATCCAAAGGGAGTATCAACCTCTTAGTAATCACTGACCTAATTCCTATGTTCTAACCTAACATTTGCTCTACAGCTGAGTTAATTTGCTTTGACAAGTAACAGCTCTGCCTAAAAAAGTTGTATCATAAAAATAACCAACCAAAACTAAACCCAACCCCAACCACCTGACCTTGTACACTCACCAATGGGCTAAAACACCAATTCTTTTGCAAGGTGCTTTCTTTGTGCTCAGCTATTTGAGTACAACCACAGAGCTCCTTCCTACCTTCACAGCTCACACTCACTTTGTATGCAATTAAAAAAAGAGTTGACTCACATCAATTTAACTTCAGCTCAGGTCCTGCAGATGATAACTTGTAAAATATCATCATATTAGGGTATGTAGTTGCCAGATACAGAGCACATTTACCCACTTCTACAACTAAAACATTCTGAGAATTAAAACAATGGCTTCTGAGAAAGGAAATGTGGGAATGATCACCGCTAATAACCCGCTGGACACACAATCGACCTCTTGCCTGTGAGAATTAAAATACAATTGGATTGCAATTAGATCTGCTGAATTCAATTATCAAGTTATGGCTCCTACGTTTCTTGCTGAATTCTACACACTGTTCTGTGATGTCTGAACTTTCACTTAATATATGTTTTACAGCTGTAGTAAGCACTGACAAACAAGAAGACTAAGACTTAGCTGAAATTATCTCACCATTCTACCTTTCCCACCCACCTTATCAGTGGCTGGGAAATAGTTGCAATTTAGATAGTTCCAACTGGCAAAGTGTAGACCAAGAAATGCTGAACAGTACTATGTTCAGTGAAAACAATGGAATTACTCAGTCAAAATAACCTAGCAAAGGCTAGATTAGGGAAGGAATGAGCATAGTGGAAAGGGTTTCACTGAAATTTAACTACCAACTTTTAAAACTGGAATCTTGAGAAACACTTGCTCAACCACCTTGCCAAAGGCACTTCCCATGTTTAAACTGAAAAATTCCCAAGCTGTCTAAAGCTGCATCTTTGAACACACCCAGAGGGATTTTATTCCTGACAGAAATGAGCAATTCAGCATCTAGAGCATAACCAAGTTCAAACAGCAAAGAGAAAGCAAACATTCTTCTGCCCTGGACAGCTCAGAGAGTAGTTCTTAAGCAAAGTAACTGCAGGTATAAATGGAAAGGTTTCCATTCCTTGACATTCTCACCTACTCCTCTGCACAACAGTTATCTCAGGAAAAAAACAAAGTACAATGAACACACAGATTATTCAGATCTCTTTCAGACCAGTGAAGTGGATCACTCCTTCCTGTCTAACTGCCAAGTGATTACAGCTGTCATCCTCAAAGAGTGAGACTGAGGGTCAAACCTTCCTGAGAATTCACACCATTCCAGGGGGGAGCACTATAATTTCCAGCTAATTATCCCATAAGCTTCACCCAGTTTTCTTCCCCTGCTAATAGTGTCAATTGTCCAGTTAAGAGCTCAAGTCTCATCCAGAATATGGGCACAGATTTGGGGGTCAGAGTCACCTGCTCCAGAGCATGTTTTGCTGATGTCTCAGCATCTGTTTCAATTGAACACTAAATAGCTGTGTAAAAGGAAGAGAGAACTCACTTGGTTCTCAGTCAGAACAGAGCACTTACCTTCAAGAGATCCTGAAAGGAAAACTGCTTCTCACAGTTCTGATGAGGCTGGAGATTTTTCCAGTATTTCTATCAGCAGTACTTTCCCACTGCCTAACCTCTGCAAGATCCCTGCAAGCTGCACATTAAATGTACTAACACCAGGTACATCCTGCTGAGTGCACACACTGCACTGGAGCCTGCCCTGCACTCACTCCCCCCAGGCAAACCCTCAGACACTTACTTTTCCAGTTATTCAAATTACATCTCATAAAACACGTAAGTCTAAGAATTTAATAACTTCAATATCCACCTCACTGCACTGGAGACACTTAATTTCTAGCCATCTTTCTGATTTAATAAATATACACAGGTGTACATTCTATTCTTACATGAAATGTGCAAGGATGCAAGGAATTGTGTTGGAATTGCACTTATGCAATTACACACTAAGCTTAATTTAAGGTATAATGATCCACTAAAACATTCTATAAACAGGTAGTATGTGCATTAGTTCCACACCTACCTTTCCTTTCAGTTAAAGGAACAGACCATGAAGTATTAAGAAAAACTAATTTCAATTTACAGTGAGATGATGATAATTGTGCTGATTATATCAGTAAAGCTACAAAACCCCACCCTAGACATGAGTTAAGTGTGGCATGGATTAGTGTGATTGTGATAGCACATCTAAAGGTCCACTTAGAGCAAAGCACCAGTGCAGAACACACAGTATAAACACCAAAACTGTCCCCACTTATAATATTTTATTTTGCTCAGCCTCAAGGAGTCAAGTGTTGCAGTAACTCTGCCCTGTAGCCCATAAACCACTGCCAGACTGGCAATGAGTTCATAAACAGAACAACACTAAAGTATAATTGACAATACTCTAAGTATGATATATTTTTAATATGCTCTCAAATTAGTAATTTATCATCAAATTTTGAATACCTGACAATTAATCCTTATACACTGTACACTGCCATACATACCATGAATAAGCCTAGGACCCTGAGGTCATGGATCATATCACTGGATGCGAGTGCAGAATTTTAAGGTGTCAACCAAAAACGTGTTTGTCCTGCTTCAGGTTAAATACACTGACTAGTGCAAGAGGCCTGAGCTTCAGGAGTAATTAACCTCATGAAAAGTTCCCTGGTGTCCTTGTTAAAAAACCACTAGAACACTTTGGATTATTGTGGATTCATGTTTTTACTCATCTCCTCAATGTGGCTCAGTAGTTTCAACAATGCAGATGGATTATATGGGAAAAGATTTCTTCTCTGCAACCTAGAAATAGCTTTTTGCAGCTCTTCCAAACACTTAGTTGCTTTGTAAAGCATTATTCTTAGGGGAATGATGTTATCCAAAGATGCCATACGAGTCAAACAGGACGAGGTATGAGATCCCTCCTGCCTCAGAGGCAACACCTCAGACGTGAGTGTATTCTGGTTATCATCAGTGGAAATGCAATCAGTTTCCCTTCTCCTCATCTCACCCTCATTGTTTAAAGGCACCTGCTTTGTGTTTATCAGGCACTCTGTTCCATCTGATTCCAACTCAGAATCTTCTGAGCTGTCATAATTAACAAGGCTTTGAAGAGAACCCAGCAGAGAGGCACTATCAGTGCACATCAATGCGTCAGACTGGTTCGACTCTGCAGCTTCATTACCACTTTGCTCTGTTGTAAACACACAGCAATTGTGACAAGAAGCCAAAGACATTGGAGTCTGTGGTTCTGGTTCACAACAAGCATTTTGCAAACTCTCCTCAGTCACACAGCTTTGCTTTTCTTGATGGGGTGGCTTGACAGAAGAAATGGATTGAAAAGTGCAATGTTTGGTATCAAAATGGTTACAGACATCAACAAACTGGGGCCACTCTTGTCCAAGCAGCTTTAAGTACCTCACCAAGTACTCCAGAAAACAAGTTTCTGATGAAATCAAAAAATCCAGGAGTACTGTAGAGTCAAATGCAATTTTTTCCAGAAAAAATAAGAAGATACAGTGTGGATTATATCCACTTGCATGCATAAGGAAGTCCCAGGATTCCTCTTCCTTTTGGCTTAAGTTAGCAGCAGCCTCATGCCGTGACCTGAAAAGTAAGTCATGAAACAGAACCAATTCAATGGAAAGTTACAGTTTGGGCTTTTCTTTTAAGAAACAGGTCTGTCCAGAAAATGGTCTTGCTTTGCTTTTTTCTATTTTGTCAAAAAGTAAAAACCAAGCAAGAAGTTTTTATAATATCAGAATGAGACAGAATGAAGGCAGGTGGGACTAGGAGATAGGAGAGTTCAGGCCTTAAGGAGCTCCTCCTTAGGAAGGAACAAAGTTACTTACAACACATGAACTGTGTTTTCATATGAATAGAAAATCATAATAAGATTTTTGTACACCTAAACACAGACTAACTTCCAGAATGTTAAGCATGTTGGAAAAAGGTGCATGACTCCTACTTAAAGGTCTAAGTATTGCGTGTATCTAAGATATTACTTGCAATATCTCCACATTTGAAACTTGAGGGACTTGTGTAAATCAGAGTAGTAACTTCTATAGCAATTTCAACCACAGTGAAGCAGTGAATGTCCAGGACAAATTCATGGAGACATTTCAGTTGTTGGCAATAACAGTTTTTATCAATTAGCCAGAATCCCCATAGGCCCAGAAGTCCATGGGCCTCAGAAACTTTGCCAGAAGTCCCTGAATTCTTCAAGTTTAAATAGCCCATTCTTGTCAAACACTGTGTTGAGAGAAAAGTTTTGCTTTTTATATGTCTTACCACTATTTTAGACTAAGTCAATTATCCTGAATTACAGGATATGATAAACTCTTTCACAACTTTCCTGTTTCGATCCAAAAAAAGACTTTAATTACCAGCTCTTACTGCTCTTCCACCACCCATTATTACATTGCTCTGAGGTTTGGGGGGGGTTAATTATTAAAAAAACTTTTCTTTGTACAGAAGTAACCAATGGGAATGTTATGTATATCAGAATAGCCTCACTAAACTATAATTCTTCACAGTTCTGTCAAAAGAAAAGTACACTAACCTGCCAAATTTTAAATAAACAAGTAATAAAGCTTTAGCAGCTTCCCACATGTCATCATCTTGCTCCATGAAAATCAAGGAGAGCCATTCACAGTGATGCACGACTGGGAGAGACTGGGGGGAAGGCTGTACATGACTCCTCCAGAACACCAACAGCTGGGACATGGAACTTTCAAAGTCTCCTGAAAGAAAAGAAGTAATGAGGAATTTTGCTATACTTTCTTGCTGCCAAACAACATACAGGTTTCAAATTAACAGTGTATAACAATTCAAGGATGCATTTATCTTTCCTTAGCTCAGCAGATTTAATACAACATCACATTTTCTAGATGAGTCCTTGCCATTTTAGTGCAGTAGCTCACTCATAACAA